CCAGCCGCGACAATTTGTACCGACACGCACACACACACACACACACACCGCCGTCAACAAACATACCAGCCGCGACAATTTGTACCGACACGCACACACACACACACATACACATACTCTGTACTTTCAATAGAATAATATATTCTCATTCATCACCAAATCCGCGTCGACCGTATTATTACCGCCTTGCATCTCTCCTCCTTGCCGAACCTCTTTGCGACCCTGGCCGCAGCCCGTGACCGACGAGCTACGTCCGCGCAAAGTAAGGTTGTTTCAATTTTAAATTATATATTATATATTGAGTCTTTCTACGCTGTTCAGAAAATGATACGTTTACCTTAACAGAGTAGTTGCGAGAAAATTACCTCTACTCCTTCTATTTTTTCTCACTTCCACGGCGTAAATCCCAGCGCGGCGTATATACCGGAGTTACCCTAATAAATAAAAAGTATCTGCTAGCTGGTAATGTAATGTCTAAGAGTAAAATTGTAATACGGAAACAATTGAGTTATCCTGAGATCTAGAACTCCTCTCAACGACAAAGACAAATTTAGTCTGATACCTTGGACAGTTAGCGAAAAGAAAGTGAGAACAAGTGATAGGGAAGGAATAAAAGGAAGGGGTATCTAGGAGATATATTATATAGGAAGGGGAAAGCAACTGGAGTATAGGAAGATAACTGTCTGACAGAAATTCGATATCGATTTGCCTGTTTAAACCTTGACATTATTTTTTAATATGCACCATTTCAGATATTAACCTCTTATTATACGATTCAGTATCTAATATTTTCACATCCTTTCAATCAAAATTATGATTGAATTTAATGCGATGGTCTGAAATGACGGAAGGAGATTCTGTTATTTTATTAATATCAGAAGAGTGATCCTGCACTCTTGTGTGTAAACCTCTTTTTGTTTGTGGCATCGCAATCAAGTCGCAAATCTTGTACACTACATCCTAATGCGATAAAGGATATAAAACATCTTTACCCACTCTAATAAATCTATTCAGGGTGTTAGGAATCGTAAAAGCTGTTTTTAAGTTTATAGTTGACGCTATTGGAAGACAACTTTCAAGCACATATCTTATGTAACTTAAGGGGTCTTCTTTTGCTGGAATCTTCTTTTTTACCGATAAAACAAGCGTTTAGGTTAAATGCAATATTCTACGAATTAGAGTTGCACAGGATAAAAATTCCTTCTCCGCGATTGAAATATCCGTGCTAATGTACCTGCTCCTGGTGTGTTTTGTGTCCAAAACTGAGGAAAATAATAAATTATAGGTTTCTGTATTCATGTGCTGTCAGCTCACCAAACATTTACTTCGTGAAAAAATTATGTGCACGTTATATGCTCGAAACCTATCGGGCGCGTCTCCAGGTGGCGGATAGGAGGACGCCCGGAGGGGTGCCCGGTCTCCCGGGTGTAAAACCCCGTGTGTGACTGGAGG